TCCTGTCTTTCAAAAGGAGTGACTCCAAGTTTGGCTCATGCCTGACATCTGACTATGGGTATCTGGAGGGTTCCCACCACTACCAGCATTAGTAAGAGTGGCAGAGCGTGTGCCTGAACGGTGTGTGCAGACAGCACGGCTCACACAGAACATCTGTTGTCTGAGAATGAGGGACTTTGGTACATGTGAGATAGGGGGCACCTACATGACAAATATCTCATCAATCTGGAAACCCCATGTCTGTAATCAGACTCTCTGGTAGACCACACCTCACATGCTCTCACACTCCCTGCTAGAGAACTTAGCAGTCATCTCCTGGGAGAGCAGCCTTGGGGTTTTTCAATAGGTTTTCTCTGGACCTCACCCCATGCACAGTTTCTCTCTGTTGATTTTACTTTGTATCTTTTTATTGTAATAAATCATGGACAGGTTAAAGACTATTAGTGAGTCATGTGATCCTCTCTAGAGTTCACCAAGCCGCTGGTACTGTTCAGACAATCAACACAAGGACCAGAATCAGGAATCAGAGCAATGAAAACAAATCATCCTGGAAACAAGACCTTGGACTTTGCAACAAAGTCTTAAGTCAGTGATTTAGATATACATTTATATTTTCGTAATGCAGGAAACATGTCTAAAACTGTTCTACCTGGAATGCGGCTGGGCACGGCGTCAGCTAGTGGTACATGCTTCTTGCCCACCAGCACGGGTCGCCCCTGCTTTTTATGCAGTGTTGTGCCTGGACGGCCTGACTGCTTGCCAGGGACTGGCTCAGTATTACGTGTGAAAGCCACATAGGTGGTGACTGGGGCAGGAGAAAGGCAGCGCTACATCTCTCTGCGGTTGGGTCGCGCGTCTCTGGCAGGCGTTTGGACAATCACAGGCTGGTATCTTCGGAACTGTCTTCTGAAAACAAACCCAGAAACAGCATTTATCAGAACATAAGGGAATCGAATTGACACTACCTGTTGTCAATGAGCACGATTGCTGTAGAGAGTGATCACAAGCTGGTGAAAGTGTCAGAAGACACACGGGAACGTAGAATTAAAGTTGATGCTATCACAATTGAAACAGATTAATAAACAAAACAAAAGATAATGCAATACGGAAAAGAATCTGCTAGACATGCATCAGACAGGATTTTAATATCGCAGCTCTAAGAAAATAGGAAAGAAAAGATGCTCCCCAATCCCATGAAGCATGTTTGAGACGTGAACCAACAGACATAAGAAAAAAAGAAAAATAATCTTAACTCCATTGAAAAAAAACTTCTAATTAAAACTATGCTGAGATATCATTCAGTGATGATATGTCACAAGTTTCGACCTGGAACGGTTTGCTCACGCTGTAACCTAGTACTCTGGAGGCGATGGCAGGTGATCGCTCAAGTCATGCAGGTTCACAAACCAGCCTGAGAAAGACGAGACACGTCTACTAAAATAGAAGAATTAATTGTCACTAAAAAAATAATAAAATAAATACGCAGGCATTGTGACGCATGACTGTAGTCCCAGCTTACTCAAGGGCTGAGGCCAGAAGGATTGCTTAAGCAGGAGTTGAGGTGTGCTGTGAGCTAGACTGATGCCACGCTACTTTAGTCTGGAAACAGATGAGACTTGTCTCAAATATAACCAAAAAAGATCTCATATCTTAACGTCGCTGGGTGGTGTGCACACACTTGAAGAAGTATGATTCAACACCATGGAGAGAAACTGGGGCAGTATCAGCCAACACTGCATAGGTGTAACCATTTGACCCACAACCTAACATCTCAAAAACTGTCACAAAGGTGGACCTGGCAAAAATATCACAAGCTCAGCCAACGCCATTTGTGTATTGGCAGAAAAGTTAAAGCATACTTTCTAATCTCAAACATCTATAAATCTACAATGAAAATCAGGCAATATGCAGGAATAATGAAATATGTGCAACATTAATGAATTGTGAAATGTAGCAGGAGCATGATGTGATAAAACTGTAATAAAGAAAACAAAAGGCTGGAAATGAATGATACTCCAACTTAAGTTGAAAAAATAACATTAGATAAATCCATATAGTGTAATGGAAGGATATGTAGATTAAAAGCACCCTCAACTAGCTAACAGAGGACAATGAAACTGTCAAAAGAAAGAGAAACTCAAGGCACATAATGTCCCTGTGAAAAAGAAGTGACAGCACAGCTTCCTTTGTTTAGCTCAATTAAAACTTGTGGTCTAACTCGTTGGCTCCAAGAGTTCTTTTCTCAGCTTAGAAGAGCTCGCACCGACTGTAGGGCTGGAGGTCTCAGGAGGTCCCGCCCTAACACAGACGGGAAGAGAAACTGACGAAGAGAAACAAGGAAGGAGAAGATAGCCCACAGTTGTTTCACTGAGAAAGTGTACAACACAAGTCTTTAGGGAGATTATCAAGTAAAACAAGAGAAATCTCTAAAAATTCCTCTAGAATCCAGTAGGAGAACAGAGGTGCAGAGAGTAACAACAGGCCACAGATGGATGCATGAACCGATCCATGCCAGTGAACTGGTGGTGTCATGTTGTGTAATCAGGGAAAGCAGGCTAAAGAACCACGTGGTGCATCCAGTTCGTATATTGTCACTGTCCTTCGCCGTTTATAGCTGGCAGGATTGAGCATTTAGTGCTTTGGAAGATAATAATACAGAATATACTAAATATATCCCTGATTGTTGTATGCTTTGGCAGCTGCTGGCAGAATGAACTCAAAACTGACAGAAGTGGGCATGCTGTCCAATGTGGTCCCACCAACTTCTAGACCTGACTGGAACATCTGGGTTCTCTTTGTGCTTTCCATATAATGACTGTGCCAGTCTGTGCAAATGTACCTATAAACCCTGATTTGTGTAACTACCTGAATCTGTCTATAAGAATGGGCAGTGTCCGGATGTCTTTGGCTCTGGGCTTCAGCTCATTCATTGAATGCTGCACTCACGTGTCGTGTCCCTTCCCTCATTATGGAGGGTCAGGTGCATGTCAGCAGTTGAGGGCGTCAGCATGCAGCCACACACCTTGCTTTATCCACTCAGGAACTCAAAGCTTGGTCATTCACTTTGCACTTCAGTTTCTCCAACTGATCTGGAGATAATAAACTAAACCCCAGCAACCGACTCTTGTGAAGGCTGAATGAGTTAATGCATATGAGTGTGTGAAGCCAAAGGATTCATTTTACAAAGGTAACCTTGGTGATCGTGCTTGTTAATAGAAGTACCTCTGAGCAAACACAAATGCCCATCACCCTATGAGATCACACAAGACAGCCCCATTCCTCAAGCAACACACCTGCAACCTACAAGAAGGAGCAAACAAGTCACTTACATGAATGTAAACTTTGGCTTAAGTTTTTCCCTAGAGAATTAAAAAAACAAAACAAAACCCAAAACCTACTGTTCTTATTGCCATGAGAAATATGAAATCAGGTGGTTCTTTAACATTGAATCCAGCAAAATGCAACACCTTCGTAGCATCTAGATGTTTTCTTCATCGAGATATTCCGGAATACTTACTGTCGTCACAGGCTGCGGAGGCACCTGGCCACTGCAATGCAGAAGACAACATTACGGATGACGTCGTGTTGTGGAAGGTTTGCACATCCACTGTTTCTCCATGGTATTGAAAACTAGAGGAGATGCTGTAGTCAAGTCAAAGGCTCCACAGCAAGGGCAGGGCCACCACTGGAAAGACATGAGCTTTCCTGAGGAGGAGTGTCTCCTGTGCACTTAGTTGGGAAGTACAAAATACTTCATGCAAGGAGAAGACATTGCTTCCAAGGAAAAAGACGCTGGATACAGCTTACAATCTAGTGCTGTGTGTCAATTTACTTTGGGATCAGACATCAGTTGCTAATGGTCTCTAGTCCACACCCCAGAAAAGAGTATTAATATCTATAATGTGCATTGTCATGTTCATATCTGAAATGCATTGATAAAGAGAGAAACTAGAAGCAACATTCTAGTTTGAGTGAAACCAAACAACTTACCCTCACAGTCCATGGCCTCCCTTTCACATGCCCTTGCACTGGACTGCTTCTGCACCAGGTCGTTCTGTGAGGCGGGAGGACACAGAATACTGTCCGCCATCGGTGCTGTTGCTCATGACTTTCTCCTGCGTCATGTAGAAAGTGGGACAGTGTTTTGGGTCAAAAGCACAGTCGGTTGAGGTGCTCTGCCCGTGATCCTTGCACTCTCGGGGCCGAGGCAAGAGGATCACTTGAGCTCATGAGTTCAAGACCAGCATGACAGAGGTGAGACCTGTCTCTATTAAAAATGAAAAACATTAGCTGGTGTGGTGGTGTTTGCCTGTAGTCTCAGCTACTCAGGAGGCTCAGGAAGGAGGATCACTTGAGCCCAGGAGTCTGAGGTTGCTGTGAGCTAGGCTGATGCCATGGCACTGTAGCTTGGGCAACAGAGTGAGACTCTGTTGCAAACAAAAGAAAAGAAAAGAAAAGAAAAGCAACACAGATGGAGCTGCTGCTGGACCATCCTCCCTCATGGGAAGACAGGCAGGAAAGAAGAACACAAAAACAACGAGAAAATGAGTCCTTGGCAATTGCTAATGGAAACCGAAGGCAACACAAACTAGTCTCAAATGGTACTAAACTGCATGCTATCAGTTGATGAGAGGGTCCCATCACTCATACTGTTGGCTTTGAAACCCAGCTAAATGGTATCTAAACCTCCCGAAACAGTATTAGCTTGTGTGCTTTGTGTATCTTAAGTATACAGGCCTCCAGCTGAGACTGATGCCAAGTCTTCTTGAAACTTTCCCAACTGTTTTGACCTATATGGATTCACTCTGTGTCTCTGCAGCTGTTGTGTTTTTTTATTTTTGTTTTTATTTTCATTTTTTTGCAACAGAGTCTCACTCTGTTGCCCAGGCTAGAGTACAGTAGTGTCAGCCTAGGTCACAGCAACCTCAAACTCCTGGACTCAAACAATCCTTCTGCCTCAGCCCTCTGAGTAGCTGCGACTACAGGCATGTGCAACCATGCTGGCTAATTTTTTCTATTTTTCGTAGAGATGGGGTCTCCCTCTTGCACTGGGTGGTCTCAAAGTCTTGAGCTCAAAAGATCTGCCTGCCTTGGCCTGTCAGAGTGCTAGGATTACAGGCCTGAACCACCATGCCAGGCCTATTGATTTTTTTAAAATAGGATTTTGCACTTGAATAAAAGCAACGTTTAACAAATGAATTGGGTTCTTTCTAGGCAAAACAGTCTATGGTATTTACTGACTAATCTGTGTTATCCAATTATGGGAGATATGTCCTGTGTATTAACAGAGTGAGGAGGATATCTTTCCTTGTACAGGCTGGTCAATTTGAGACTATGTCAAGAGAGGAGATAAGGGGTGAAAGCTGGTGCATTTTAACTCTGTAATATAATGAATTGCAAAAAAATGTGATAAAATAATAACAAAGCCATCCTTCCCTTTGTTATTTTTCATTACTTCTAAAGTATGTAGCTTTCAGGATTTGATAATTCCTGGGTCTTAATTTCAGAAGAGTCACTAAGAAGCAAATAAAACAACTAAAATATATAGCAACAACAATAAACCCTGCTGTATGTAGAGATTCTGATTTCCAGCTATCCCGTTATTTGATTTAATATATCCAGTTAATCACAAAATAAAGCAAGGCATGCATAGGAGAAAACAAATTATAGGACTATGCAGGAAGGTTTAGTAAAGCAAATTTTAAAGTGCTGTCCTTCAAAAGGAGTGATTCCAAGTTTGGCCCATGCTTGCCATCTGAGAATGGGTATCTGGAGGGTTTTCACCATTACCAGCATTAACAAGACTGGCATACCCTATGCCTAAATGGTTTGTGCAGACAGCATGGCTCACTCAGAACATCTGTTGTCCGAGGATGAGGGACTTTGGTACATGCTATCAATCTGGAAACAGTGAGTCTGTAATCAGACTCCCTGGTAGACCACACCTCACATGCTCTCACACTCCCTGCTGGAGAACTTAAGAGTCATCTCCTGGGAGAGCAGCCTTGGGGTCTTTCAGTAGGTTTTCTGTAGACCTCACCCCATGGACAGTTTCTCTCTGTTGATTTTACTTCGTATGCTTTTATTGTAGTAAATCATGGACAAATTAAAGACTATTAGGTGAGTCCTGTGAGTCTTCTTTGAGATCACCAAGCCTGGTACCGCTCTCAGGAACAATCAACCCAGGACCATAATCAGGAAGAAGAGCAATGAAAAGAAATTATCCATGGGAAACCAAGACCTTGGACTTTGCAAACAAAGGTTTTAAGTCAGTATCTATCTGTCTATGTATGTATGTATGTATGTATGTATGTATGTATCTATCTATCTATCTATCTATCTATCTATCTATCTATCTATCTATCTATTTTCATATAATGTAGGAAACCATGTCTAAAATGCACTTTCCTACCTGGCAGCTTGGGGTGGCTGGGGATGCTGGGCTCCAGCCTAGGTGTGACCTGCTTCCTGGCCCAGCAGGTGGGTGGGCACCCTGGCTTTCTACTGCCGGCCCATGAGATGCCTGGATGGCTCCTGGGTGGGTTGATTGGACCTGGTTCAGTCATGCCAATACTGATGCCACACGAGCAGATCCTAGGGCAGTGGAGGCAGATGGGACGTCTTTCCCAGCAGGTCTGGGGGTTTGTAGTCTCTGGGCAGGACTGGATGGTGACAGGCTGATCACCTGAAACAAACCCAGAGAAACAGATTATCAAACACAAGGGAATAGAACTTAGTTCAACTGACCCTAGCTGTCATTAATGAGCAGAGATTGCTGTAGAGAGTGATCATAAGCTGGTGAAAGTGTTAGATAGAAGAACACCAGGGAACATACATTTAAAGTTTGTTATATCAAATTAGAAAACTTGTATATGACATAAAGTTCCAAAAACAAACCCAAAAGATAAATGGTGAATAGGAAAAAAGTCTGCATAGCATATCACAAAGATTTTAATACACTTATGTCTCTAAAAATAGGGAAGAAAAGACTGCCACCGATCCCATGGAAGCATGTTAGAAACACAAACCAACAGTTCAAAGAAAAAAAAAGACAAATAACTCTTAATCTCATTCAAAAGAGAAAACTTCTAAATAAAACTATGCTGAGATACCACCTTCAGTGACTAAATGTCAAAATTTTCACATCTAACCGCATGGTTGTGTACACACTTGCTAAGAAAGTATGATTCAACACACATGGAGAGAAATTGGGGAGTATTAAGCAAAACTGCATAGGTGTAAACCCTTTGACCCACAATGAAACATCTCAAAGTCTGTCCCAAATGTAGATGGGCAAAAATTATCACAAAGCTCAGGCACAAGGCCATTTGTTATATCGGGAGCAAAGATAAAGCATATTTGGAATCTCAAATGTCTAAAAATCATAAAAAAATTAGGCAATACTTACTAATGATGAAAACTGTGCAACATTTATAACTGTGAAGATGCAGCCAAGAGCGTGACGTGAGAACAATGTATAGTAATTTACATTAGAAAAGCAGAAAGGCTGGAAATGAATGAATATCCAACTTAAATTAGAAAAAATAACATCAGAATAAATCCAAATAGTGTAATGGAAGGATATGCAGATTAAAAGGTGGCCTTCCCCATCACCTAGATAGCAGAGGAAAATAAATTATCAAACAGAAAGAGGAATAAACTCAAGACATATAATTATCCCTTTGAAGAAAGAACTGACAGCACAGCTGCCCTTTGTTTAGCTCAATTAAAACACCTGTGGGATCCCCTGCGGCCACTGAAGGGCAGCGGCTATCATGGCGTTCTTGGCGCCGGTGGCCTACCTGACCCATCAGCAGGTGTGGAGGTTTTATAAGTGGGCGCTATGCCACCTCGAGTCTTGGTGCATACACAGGGACAAATACTGGTACTTTACTTGTTTGATGAGAGCCAGGTTTGAAGAACATAAGAATGAAAAGGATATGAGGAAGGCAATCCAGCTGCTGAGGGAGGCGGAGGAAGAATTCTGGTTCCGTCAGCACCCACAGCCATATATCTTCCCTGACTCTCCTGGAGGTACCTCCTATAAGAGATACGAGTGCTACAAGCTTCCAGAGTGGTGCTTAGATCACTGGCATCCTTCTGAGAAGGCAATGTATCCTGATTACTTTGCCAAGAGAGAGCAGTGGAAGAAACTGCGGAGGGAAAGCTGGGCGAGAGAGGTGAAGCAGCTGCAGGAGGAAACCCCACCTGGTGGTCCTCTGCCTGAAGCTTTGCCCCCTGCCCAAAAGGAAGGTGATTTGCCCCAACTGTGGTGGCATATTGTGACCAGACCCAGGGATCGGCCTGTGGAGAGAGAGAGAGAGAGAGAGAGAGAGAGAGAGAGAGAGAGAGAGAGAGAGAGAGATAGAGACCTCACTATTCATGCTTGCAAGTGAAATAAGTTACAGAATAGACACACACATGCCCTAATAAAAATAACTGAAATGGTCAAACAAACGAACAAACAAAAAAACCCCTTGTGGCCTAACTCGCTGGCTCCAAGAGTTTCCATTTCTCAGCCTCGAACACCCGGCACCGACTGTAGGGCTGTGAGTGCCCTGCTGCAGCTCTCTGCCTCAGTTCCTGCCAGAAAGCCAGATTCCAAGGACTCAATGAGCTGGTGTCACAGAGAAAAGAGCAAAAGCACCCCCTGCCATCCCCCAGCTGCTTCTGTTATCAGTCTGCTGAGGCCGAGGGAAAAAAAGCCATTTGTTCCCTTTAAAACTCCAAGTAGCTTTCCCCCAGCTGCCTGGCACTTTCTCTCCTTCCTCCCTGTGCCCTGGCCCCGCCCTGCCTTTCTCTCTCTCCCCCTTTCTTCCTTTCCTGGACAAATGCCTAAACTTTTACTTCTCTGTATCCTAATCCCGGTGTGAGAATTCTTTCTCCAACCTGCAGTGCGAGGTCCTCAGGGGGTCCCGGCTCTAACACAGACGGGAAGAGAAACTGACGAAAGAGAAAACAAGGAGAAGGGAGAAGATAGCCCACAGTTGTTTCACTGAGAAAGTGTACAACACAAGTCTTTAGGGAGACTTATCAAGTAAAGAAGAGAAATCTCAAAAATTCCTCTTAGAATCAGTAGGAAGACAGAGGTGGCAGAGAGTAAACAACAGGCCACAGGTGGATGTTATGAACCGATCCATGCCAGTGAACTGGCAGTGCTGATGGTGTGTAATCAGGGAAAGCAGGCTAAGAACCACGTGGTGCATCCAGTTCTTAATTGTCACTGTCCTTGCCGTTTATAGCTGGCAGGATTGGAGCATTTAGTGCTTGTGAAGATAATAATACAGAATATACTAAAATATATCCCTGATTTGGGCAGAATGAACTCAAAACTGACAGAAGTGGGCCATGCTGGCCTATGTGGTCCCACACATTTCTTAGACCCTGACTGGAAGCATCTGGGTCTCTTTGTGCTTTTCATAGTAATGACTGTGCCAGTCTGTGGCAAAATGTACCTATAACTACGCTGATTCATTTAACTACTGAATCTGTCTTATAAGGATGGGCAATGTCTGGGATCTCTTCTGCTCAGGGCTTCAGCTCATACGTGGTAATGCTGAACTCACTCTCTCGTGTCCTATCCCCATTATGGAGGGTTAGGCGCATGTCAGTAGTTGAGGGTGTCAGCACACAGCCACACCTGGATTCACGCACTCAGGAAGAATTGCAGGGCTTGGGTCACTCAGTTTTGCACTTCAGTTTCTTCAACTGATCAGTGGAGATAATAAACCAAACCCCAGATATGGCTCTGGTGAGGTCTGAATGAGGTAATGCATATGAAGTATGTGATGGTAACGGATTTTATTTTACAAAAGTGACCCTGGCGATCATGCTCTGTAAATAGGAAGTAGCTGCTGAGAAGACACAAATGCCCATCACCCTACTTAGCATCACACAAGACACCACCGTTCCTCAAGCACACACCCTCTGCCAACCTACAGAGACCATAGTTGCTTACATGTAACGTAGAAACATGGCTATGGCCTTTTCCCTAGAGCATTACTAAAAAAACACAAAAACAAAAACTCCTACTGTCCTTATTCCCATGTGAAACCTGGCATCAGGGTGGCTCTTGAAATTGAAGCCAGCAAAAATGCCACACCTCTCTTAGCATCTAGATCTTTTTCTTCATCAAGTAATTGCGAATACTTACTGTCATCACATGCTACTGAGGCTACCTGTACCACTGCAATACAGAAAACAACATTATGCAGATGATGTCGTGTTGTGTGGATGGTTTGCACGTGGCACTGTTTCCCTCCATGGGTATTGAAAACTAGAGGAGACGCTGTAGTCAAGTCAAAGGTGTCCACAGCAAGGGCAGGGCCACCACAGAGAGACATGAGATTTTCCTAGAGGAAAGGTCTCTCCTGTCCACTTAGGTTGGGAAGTACAAAATACTTCATGCAAGGAGCAGACTCTGACTACCAGGAAGAAGACCCTTGGGATACAGTTTACTACCTAGTTCTGCCGTGTGTCAATGTCCTTTGGCATCAGACATGAGTTGCTAATGATCTCCTGTGCACCGTCCAGAAAAGAGTAGTTAATATCTATAATGTGTATTATCATATTTTCATATTTTAAATCCATAGAAAAAGAGAGAAACCAAGAAAGCAACATTTCTAGTTTAAGCAAAATAAGGCAACCTCACCCTCACAGTCCACGGCCTCCTTTCACGTGCCCTTGCACTGGACTGCTTCTGCACCAGGTCCTTCTGTGAGGCGAGGAGGACACAGAATACTGTCCGCCATCGGGGCTGTTGCTCATGACTTTGTCTGGAGCTCTGTGTCATGTAGACAGTGGGACAGTGTGTGTGGGTGTGTTTGGGTCAAAAGCACTGATGGGCCAGGTGAGGTGGCTCATGCCTGTGATCCTAGCACTCTGGGAGGCCGAGGCAAGAGGTCACTTGAGCTCAGGAGTTCAAGACCAGCATGAGCAGGAGTGAGACCCTGTCTCCATTATAAATGAAAAACATTAGCTGGTGTGGTGGTGTTTGCCTGTAGTCTCAGCTACTCAGGAGGCTGAGTCAGGAGGATCACTTGAGCCCAGGAGTCTGAGGTTGCTGTGAGCTAGGCTAATGCCATGGCACTGTAGCAGGGGCAAAAGAGTGAGACTCTGTTGCAAACAAAAGAAAAGAAAAGAAAAGAAAAGCAGCACAGATGGAGCTGCTGCTGGACCATCCTCCCTCATGGGAAGACAGGCAAGAAAGAAGAGCAGAAAAGCAATGAGAAACTGAGTCCTTGGCAATTGCTAATGGAAACGGAAGGCAACACAAACTAGAATCAAATGGTACTAAACTGCATGCTATCAGTTGATGAGAGGGTCCCATCACTCATACTGTTGGCTTTGAAACCCAGCTAAATGGTATCTAAACCTCCCGAAACAGTATTAGCTTGTGTGCTTTGTTTATCTTAAGTATACAGGCCTCCAGCTGAGACTGATGCCAAGTCTTCTTGAAACTTTCCTGTATTCACCTACGTGGATTCACATGTGTGCCTCTGCAGTTATTGTGTTTTTCAAAATAGGATTTGCCTTTGAATAAAAGCAAACATTAACAAGTGCATTGGATTCTCTCTAGGCAAAACAGTCCATGGTATGACTGACTAATGTATTCTATGCAATTATGGGAGGCGTGTCATGTGCAGTAACAGAGTGGGGAGGATACCTTTGCTGGTACTGGCCAGTCAGTGTGAGATTATTTCAAGAGAGGAGACACTGGGTGAAAGAAAGCTGGTGCATTTTAACTGTGCAATACAATGAATTGTAACAAATGTGATGAAATGATAACCAAGTGTTCCTTCCCTTTGTTATTTGTCATTATTTCTAAAGTATGTAATTATTTCTAAAGCTTTCAGGATTTGATCATTCCTAGGTCTAGATTTCAGAAGAGTCACAAAGAATCAAATAAAAACAACTAAAATATATAGCTACAACAATAAATGCTGGTATATGCAGAGATTCTGATTTCTAGTTATCACATTTAATTTAATATATCCAGTTAATCAGAAAATAATACCAGGCACACGTAGACAAAAACAAAGTATGGGCCCATGCAGGAAGGGTTAATAAAGCAAATTTTAAAGTCCTGTCTTTCAAAAGGAGTGAATCCAAGTTTGGCCCATGCCTGACACCTGAGAATGGGTATCTGGAGGGTTCCCACCACTACCTGCATTAGTAAGAATGGCATAACATGTGCCTAAACGGTTTGTGCACATAGCACGGCTCACGCAGAACATCTGTTGTCCAAGAATGAGGGACTTTGGTACATACGAGGTAGGGGGCACCTACATGACAAATATCTCATCAATCTGGAAACTCTGAGTCTATAATCAGACTCCCTGGTAGATCACACCTCACATGCTCTCACACTCCCTGCTGGAGAACTTAGCAGTCACCTCCTGGGAGAGCAGCCTTGGGGCCTTTCAATAGATTTTCTCTGGACCTCACCCCATGCACAGTTTCTCTCTGTTGATTTTACTTTGTATTCTTTTATTGTAATAAATCATGGACAAGTTTAAGACCATTTGGTGAGTGCTGTGAGTCCTCCTAGACATTGCCTAACTTGGGACTGGTCTCAGGAACAATCATCACAGGACCAGAATTAGGAAGAAGAGCAATGTAAAGAAGTTATCCCTGGGAAAGCAAGACCTTGGACTTTGCAAACAAAGGTTTAAATCAGTAATCATGTATATATAAATATATATATATAGTTTAAATAATATGAGAAACTATGTCTAAAAACCCAGAGATAGTAGGAGATTATCTTCTGAAATAGGGAACATCAAATAAGTGGTAAGAATTATAAGAGAGAATCAGTTATAGAGTCTGAATTGTAAGTCCTAGTAATGAGTTGACAGACTCTGCTGGCAGGAAGAACAGGTGAATGGGAGAGCACCACCAATTAACAGGAACTAACTCACACTCATGGAATACTTCATTTAAAACAGCAGAGCACACGTGCTTCTCAAGGTCATATGGGTCAATCACAGAGAGACCATCCTTAGCCAATAAACAGTACTCCTCAGCTAATATTAAAGGAATAAAAATCATACAAATGTGTTCAGACCACTGTGGGATTAAACAAAGAATCAACGACACAAATGCAGCCAGAAAATATCCATATATTCCAAAATTAACAATGTACTTTGAATTAACTCATGGGTTACAGAAAAAAATCTCAACGGATATTTGACAATATCTTGGAGTACATTAAATGTAAAGGAGATGATGAAATTTGTGAAATGCAACATAAGCGGTGCTTATAGTGAAATTTATAGCTTTAAATGTAATAATACCAATAATAAGACCTAGAATCAATAATCTAAGGTTTCAGTTAGGAAACTGTAGAAACTATAGCAAAGCAATATAAAGCAAACAAAAGAAATATCATAGGAGGCAATGAAATCAAAACACAGAAATCATCAGAAACTTGATGAAACCAAAAGCTGGCTCTTTATGATCAATAACATTGATAAACCTGTATGCAGGCTAACCACAAAAAGAAAATGAAAATTATTAATATCAGAAATGAAAAAGAGGCCAAATCTACTGACCCTATGGGCATTGAAAGGATAAGAAAGGATTATCATGAATGATTCTATGCCCACATGTTGATAAACCTTGGTGAACCGAATCATTTCTTTGAAAGATATAATCTTCCCGTACTCACACTAGACATATAATCTTAATAAAATTATGTCTACTACGGAAGTTGAGTCAACATTAAGAACATTCCAGAAAAGAAAGCACCAGATCTAGATGGTGTCACTTATGAAGTCTATCAGATCCTTATGGATCGTGACATATTTTTGTCATATGACCTCAAAATTACGCTCTTAGGTATTTAACCAATGGAGATGAAAACTTAGGTCCACACAAAAGAACTTCCAAAGGAATGTTTGTGGCAGCATAATAATCACCCAAACTGGACAAAATATTTGTATGCTGTATACCTGATAAAGGGCTAATAATCAGAATATACAAAAACTCAAGCAAATCGGCAAAAAAAATCAAACATCCCATTAAAAAGTGGGAAAAAGACATGAACAGAAGCTTTTCAAAAGATAGACAATGACCAATAAACATATGAAAAAATGCTCAATGTCTCTAATCGTCAGAGAAATGCAAATCAAAACCACAAGGACACAGCCTGAGCGAGACACCGCCTCTACTAAAAATAGAAAGAAACTAATTGACCATCTAAAAATATATATACAAAAAATGAGCCGGGCATGGTGGCACATGCCTGTAGTCCCAGCTACTCAGGAGGCTGAGGCAGTAGGGATCTCTTGAGCCCAGGAGATTGAGGTTGCTGTGAGCTAGGCTGACGCCACGGCACTCACTTTAGCCTAAGCAACAAAGTGAGACTCTGTCTCAAAAAATAAAAATAAATAAATAATAAAAAACAACACAAGGGCATATCACCTAACTCCAATGAGAATGGCTTTTATCAAAAAGCCCAAAACAGCAGAGGCTGGCATGGATGCAGAAAGGAGCACTTACACACTGTTGGTGGAACTGCAAACTAGTTCAAGCTCTATAGAGAGTAGTATGAAGAGACCTCAAAGAACTGAAAATAGACCTACAATTTGATCCAGCAATCCCACTAATGACTATTTACCCAAAGGAAAGAAAGACATTTTATAAAAAAGATACCTGCACTTGAATGCTTATAGAAGCACAATTCACAGTCACAAAGATGTGGAAACAACCCAAGTGCCCATCAATACATGAGTAGATTTAATACAATGTGGTATATGTATACTATGGAGTATTACTCAGTCATAAAAAATGGTGAACTAATATCTTTTGTAACAACCTGGATGGAACTGGAGACAATCTTCCTAAGTGAAGTATTGCAAGAATGCAAAGACAAACACCACATGTACTTGCTATCAAATCAGAGCTAAATGATCAACACTTATGTATACATATGGTAGTAAAATTCAATACAAATCAAGCAGGTGGCAAGGGAGAGGGGGCATGGGTAAATTCAGACCTGGTGGGTACAGTGCACACTCTCTGGGTGAGGTTACACATTTATAACTTTGACTCAAACTGTACAAAAGTAATTCATGTAACCAAAACATTTGCAGCCCTGTAAAATTCTGAAATTAAAAAAAAAATAATCATCCAAACTGGAAGCACAAAGACATCCCTCAGGATGTCATTGGGAAGATGATCTTTGGCTCATCCATACAATATAATATTATTCTGTAATTTAAGGGACTTAGTTATCAAACCATTATAAAAGACATGAAGGAACTTTAAATATATATTGTTAGTGACACGTGAGTCTGAAAAACTGCCTATTATATGAGTTGAACTATATGACATTCTGGAAAAGGCAAAACTATAGACAGTAAAAATATTAATAGTTGCCAAGGTTTCTGGAGAAAGAGAACAGAGATTTATAAGTGAAGAATAGGGAATTATCGGGGTGTAAAATTATATTGTATGAGAGTACAGTGGTAAACATAACATTGAATATTTCAAAACTTAAAGAAATGTATAACAGAAAGAGTGAACTTTAATGTAAATGATTAAATTTAGATAATAATGTATCAGTATTAGTTAATTAATTTTAGCAAATGTACCCCAGTAATGTAAGATGTTAATAATTGTTGGAATTATGAGGTGGGGGAGAGAAGACAGAATGATAAGGAAACTGTTGATAATATGCTCCATTTTTATATTAAGCCCAAACTCTTCTAGATAAGAATATATATCAATTAAAAATAATAATCTAGCACCATTTTTAAGGGATTTTTTTTTTCTTTGAGACAGCATCTTATTCTGTCACCCGGGCTAGAGTGCTAGAGTGCAGTGGCATCAGCCTAGCTCACAGCAACCTCAAACTCCTGGGCTCAAGCGATCCTCCTGCCTCAGCCTCCTGAGTAGCTGGAACTACAGGAACACACCACCACACCTGGCTAATTTTTCTATCTTTTTGTAGTGACAAGGTCTTACTCTTGCTCAGGCTTGTCCCCAACTCCTAGCCTCAAGCAATCCTCCTGCCTTGGCCTTTCAGAGTGCTAGGATTACAGGCATGAGCCATCATGCCTGGCCCAGGAGATCTTTTTATGCTAATGTTCAATAATCAGGTAATGTCTAGACTTAGCTTAAAATATTATCTACCATGAAAAGTGAACAAATCTTGACTTTTAAAATGCATATCTAATTCTGTGGCTGCAGCAGGACTTATTGACTAAGTAAATTAAAATTTTTATATATTAAAAAATATGGTTTAACCTCTTCCTAGGTTTCTGTTACACATGGGACACCAAGCCATACACAACTTTTATACTTGAATAACCTTAATCATCCCATTACCATCATTGATGTCCAGGCAGGGCTTCACTTTGATACGCCTTGGGCGCAGTGGGGTCACTATAAGAGAAGAACATGGTTAATGCATTCACAATGGATGGAGCCATAGGCAAGTTGCTGACAGAGGACCAAAGAGAAATTAGTGAGAAGTCATCTAAGCATAAAGTTTTGATCCCATCGTTTACTGGCTTTTGAGCAGAGCCATCTGAATCAGAGTTGGGTTTCAGGGAGATCAAGGAGTTCAGGGAGCACTTATCACACCTGTCGGGAGGACTGTGGGGGCCCTGCCTCCATGTAGATGAGTTGGTACAGAAGGGCGGCAGAGCAAGGAGACTGGGAGCAGGGGTGCTGGGGCAGAGTGAGGGTTGGGTCCAAACCCCACTTTGAACCACGTGGACCTGAGAACCTCATGTGATCCCTCTGCCTTCAGTTCTCTGCATTGTCATATTCAAATTGTAATAGGGATTACTTATTAATACTGCATTATGAGGTTAAAACTGAGTAGAGGTAAATCATGAGAAAGAGGATGGGTACTTCAGTAGTTCTCTGTGTTTACTAAGTGGCAGGAAGAACAAGCGTGATCCTCAGTAGCGGCTGAACACGGAGCGGGTGCTCGGATGGCTCCAGAGTACTGGAGGAGGGAGGTCTATTTTTCACCCTTTAAGGCGAATGATGCTTTACAGGCATTAGAGAACATCTGGTATTTGGGACAGGTGCTGAGCAGTGTCGCAGGACTGGAAGAATTTGTCCCAAGTAGTATCTCCCAGCTCTCAGAATCTGTCATCTGTCCAAACGCATATGGGATTTCTATGAGCTTTTCACATAATGACTGCGGCAAATTCTGTTCTGTTCATGCACTAACGCCTGCCCTGGGGCATGTGACCACTGCCACTAACTTATGCTGTGGAGCGTGTGTAGGAACTCTATAGACTCAGGGAATCCCAGACATGTATTCAGATGTTGGAATCCCTTTGTACAGTGTCTCATAATGCCACAGCTGACTGATGAGCGCAGGTGTGAAGCTCAGAGCCTCAGCACTGGGGCTACAGGCTTGGGTTTCCACATTGGCTCTTCTACCTAGGAGCCCATGAGCTTGGGCACATCCATCTGTGTCTGTTTTTCTTGACCCAAAGGGGATGGGTCGTAAATAAATAAGCCATGCCCTATGTCTGTGGTGACTGTGGAATAATTCCATGCATGTAAAGTGTGCAGTAAAAATGCCCGTGACGCTTAATTATCAGTGGAATGTCCTGCTTTATATTTCAAAGCTTAACAAGGCTCAGAGGCTCATTCAAGCCCAAGATTCTGAATTCCCAAGCCATTGTTCTTCCTATGACAGACACCTGCTCGGCCTAAAAACACCTACTTCATTCCAATCCAGACCCACTTTTCAAGAATCAGGTAAGGTTTCTAACATTGCTGTCTGTATCTGCCTGAGTGCACACGCAGTGAGCACTCCACAGAAAAGGACACCATTGTCTTCCAGAATGGTCCAGTTGTCTGACTCATGGTCGACTGATGAGATGAGCAATGAGATGAACGCCCGTGGGCTGGGTGGAACAGCGTATCTATTAACAAGTTTGATATGCTCAAATCATGAAAAAATTCATGTCTTATTTATTGTCAACAAATATAAATGCCTCTACCCTTAGAAGGCTTCCAAGTCGTGAAACCAACCATAGCTTAGCTCTTAGAAAGAGCTCTGGATGGTGGGTCAGAAGAACTAGGTCACATAATACATCAAAATAGCATTAACAGAGAAATAGTTTCTCAAAGGTACAGTGTTATATTTAAATTTACACAAGTATCTCTTAGTATAACTTGTATTTATCTCCATAAGTATGTGTATGATCTACTGGTTTTTGAGTGTAAATAAATCTGCATAGTGTTGGTTAACAGTCTCTACTAATTCATTATATCGACCTTTGCCTATTGAAACAGTGGCTAATCACTAGGTAACCAAGGAGAAAATGACTCTACTTGACCATATTTACCCCTGGAGAGGTACGAAGGTTGGGTGATCAGCTATAATAGATATCTCTATGATTCTGTATGATGTCAAATATAAATGCATAAATATAAATGTGTCTTTTTTCCATACACTGATGGATGGACATGTTTTTATTATGTTTATATATTAATCTATGAATAGAAATGACATACCCAAGATTTATTGAACTAAATACAGATTCCATGAAAAGGAAGAGGGAAACATGTTAAAAATATCCATTTTTGTGTGAAAAACTTCAAAATCATGTGTTCCATTCTGGATTTCCTCCAAATTTTGGAAATAATAATTTTAATAGGTTCTTAATTAGGTAAAAACAGCATTAAAATAGATTCTGCCATATTTTCCCCAATAGGTTACCTAATTGGGGGAAGTTTGATGGGTGTATGATGTACTAGAAAATAACACATTTTTAAATGGTGGAGAAGTTTAAAGGCTTGCAGAAGAATTAAATATATAAATGGAAGAATAAAACAAACCCACAAAATACATTTGTAACTGCCCATGGAAAAATGCAGACGATAGTGTTTTTTATATAAAATATTTTGACAAATACTAACTAGTCCCTTTGAAGGAGAACAGCGTTCAACTATTCAATAGGAACATACCTTTAGCACGAGAAGAACACAGGTTGCCCATGTTTCAGGACAGTGGTAGCTAGAGCTGGTGGCCATATATATATATATATATATATTCACGTAACCATGGCGACAGGGCATCATACACCTTTCAGAGTGACTGCACAATCCACACTGTGAGGTCCGACTGCTGCGGTGTAGACCAGTGTGCCTTTACACACACAAAATGTCATTGAAGATTAAGTGTTTTAGTTTAGAAAGTGGATCCCAAACCCACAATCATTATTCTCTGTTTCTTGTAGCAAGTTATAGGAGGGGGGGTGCACCCCCAAATGTAGTCAATAGCGAGGATTTCAAATTGAAGAGGAACAAATCTGACATGTTAGGAACACACAGAGGTCCCATTCTTGGTTAGAAATACCATCCTTAGACATTCCTACCACTCCCAAGTCATCAAATGTTTCTAGAACCAGTAAGTAGACTTTGTTCAGGATTAGACAAAAGACAGCATTAACAGATATTAGGCATAAAACATCATATTTCTCTTGGCATATGATTATCAAACTGTATTTTCTTCATATGTATATATTGCTGTGTACTGAGTTATCTCTCAATCTCTGTGAATTCACACAGGAATTTCTCTATCAATGTTGTAACCAGCTCCATAAGCAAGAAAATGTTTTCTCGATAGTGTTTCTAGTTCCTTCATATTTCAAATGAGTTCACAGTGTGGCTGGGGCGGGCTGCCCTAAGTGACCTTGACAGTGACTTTTATCTCAGCCCTGGTGGCTTAGCAGCCGCAGTCTCACAGTAGGCAGAAAACAGGTGGAGAGCTCTCAGTGTGATCTGCTGACCAGAACTTTGTACCTTTCCGTTGCACTGATACATTCTGAGTTTTTTCCCCCAGAAATGGCAAGCACCTCCATGCAGCCTCGAGGTAACTACAAAGTCTCACGTCACCTGTTTGTCTGGAGAAGACGAGTGACAGTCCACCATGGATCATGCCCAAATACCCACTGAGCCTGTGCACAAGGCCGAAAGAATGACCCGTATTAACCCCTCGCTCATTGTAATACTAAAGTCCCCACCCTGGGAATGACTTACCCACCATTTTTGATCATGGGATACACGTGTATCAGCATGATTTCTCACGGCGCTTGCGTGCCCTGCACGGTACCCAAACACGCAGTGAGGCTCACTCTCCTCATACATTATTCATTTCACCTCCAGAAAACCCGGCCCTGTTGGTCGGGGAGGTGGATTCATGGTCCGTGCCTCCCACTCCCAGTAGATGCATCCCCACTAATAAATCCTTTCTTCCTGGACAGTCCTTGTTGTCTTTGTTATTGGCTTTCTGCCCAATGAGCAACACTGAACCCCCTCTTGTGGGTTCGTCAGCAATTTGGGGTCTTGTCCAGGATCTGTTGCTCATGGCTTGGGGGCCATGGAACAGGGAGCGACTTTATTATTTTTTTTCTCGTATTTTTTATTTCTGCTTTTTTTGTTTTTCACCGCTAGAGGATATGGGACAGGGAGAGACTTTGAAGCCTCCCTGGTCACAGGCTGGCTGAGTGTCTGCGGAGACTGGTTTTGGTTTCTCCCGCTGGCTTTGCTCTCAACAGCTCCAGGCCACCCGACTGTCAGGGAAGAATGGACCTCTGACCCTTGGATTTTGGCATTTGTGTCTGAACAGGTGAGTGCTGTTTGAAGGTAGTGCACAGCGGAACAACCTCTCTCTCTACGTGGAGCGAGCCTCTGAAATTCCTGTCTGGGTTGAGAGCCTCAGCCCTTTGGGAGTGCAGGACCTCTGACAGTTTGTATTTGGCACTCCTTGGGCTTATTTGTTGGAACTGCAGTTTGTGTGTGTGTGTGTGTGTGTGTGTCTATGTGCGACTATGGGAAGTAAGAATTCAATTCCTGAATGTAGCCGTTGGGTTGTATCATTCAAAACCGGTCTGAGTATAGTTATGAGGCTACGAAGAAGAAAAGGATGGCAGATTTGTGTAATAATGCCTGGCCCCAGTACTCTCTTGGGTCTGGGGAGATATGGCCCCGTAATGGCTCACTGAGCTATAAACCTATTCTCCAGTTAGATTTGTTTTGTCGCCGTGTTGGGAAATGGGATAAAATCCCTTATGCAAAGTGTTTTATGTTTCTATATCAAAACAAGTCAAATCAAATAAATGTAAGATTCTAATACAGAAGACAGCAGCCTTCATGAAGGTCAGAGAATGACAAAGCACATCTAAGGACAACGTATCGCCACGAGAAGGAAACGCCCATGCTGAAGAAGACCTTTGGGCAGCTGTGGCAGCAGCTCCAGCTGTGGCTGCGTCAGCTCAGGCTCAGGCTGTGGCTGAGGTGCTGGTGGCAGCTCTGGCTGTGGTGGTGGCTCTTGCTGTGGTGTGGCCTGCGCAGAGTCAGCTTCTCTTTATGACTTTTTTTCTTCCAGAGTCTGGATCACACTTATTTTCCCATTTCTCTGTACAACTGGTAATTCTTGGTAGAAAATTCACCATCATAGATAATACAATGTACCACCTTAGAATCTGTTTTGTTCTTTTGGGGATTGCTCTTTCTTGTTTTAGTAGACAAGTACTTTGCCTGAACTCAAATAGAAAAATCTTTCATGCCATTCCCCACTCCCATCCTGCCATGTGCAGCAGCTGATGTTTCTGTTTCTTTCAGCTTCCAGCTGCTGCTAATTTAGCCTGGCTCTCTGGAGGTTTCCTCCGCACCTGTGTAGCTCAGCAGTCAGGTAAGCATCTGGGCAGAAAATATACTCAGATTTGGGAGTCACCTTCTCTTTGGTTTCCTTGTTTTCAGAGCTCTCATCTAAATTTCCAGTTGCTCTGCTGGTACTCACGTCGTCCTCTGACGTCTCAAACCGAAGACTTCGCTATCCAGTGCCTACACCCTGTGGCTTGGGGCATACGGTCAGTTGAAGGCACCATAAACTCACAAACTCACCGGGTCCAGTCTTGTCTTCCCAAGATAGATTTTCTTCTAGTTTCTCTCTTTTTTCTGACTAGGTTCACTGCAGTCTCACGTATACATGTTTACTTACTTTAGTGGTCAGCCAGGGATTTGGGATTTTTATATCTTACTTAAAAATCCTTCTCTATCTCAAGGACATAAATATATTCTAAACTTTCTTACAAATGTTTATACTTTTTGCCTTTCCTATTTCAGTCTTTAATCAACCTGAAATTATTTCTGTATAGAGTAGGGATCCAGTTTTATTTTAATTAATTATTGTTAGACAGAGTCTGGCTTGGTCACTAGGGCTAGAATGTAGTGGCATCATCATAGCTTACAGCAACCTCAAACTCCTGGGTTCAAGTGATCCTCCTGCCTCAGCCTCCTGAGTAGCTGAGACTACAGGTGCTCACCAGCATACCCAGCTAATTTTTCTGTTTTTGTAGAGATGGGGTCTTCCTCTTGCTCAGGCTGGTCTTGAACTCCTGGCCTCAAGAAATCCTCCTACTTCAGCCTCCCAGAGTGCTAGGATTAAAGGTATAAGCTACTGCACCTGGTTCTAATTTTATTTTTTATATGATAATCAATTGGCACTGGTTTCTTCAGTGATCTGCAATGCCACCAATGTCGTAAGTCAAGTTTCCGTGTGTGTGTGTGTGTGTGTGTTTCTGGGCTTTCCCCCCTTTTCCCTTGTCAGTGTTTATCCCTGTTTCAATATCATAGTGCATTAGTTATTACAACTTTATAAGAAAATCTTGCTATTTGTTAGGGAAAGGTCCTTTTCTATGATAGGATTATCTTTTCTATTCTTATACTTTTACTCTTCTATGTATATTTTAGAATCAGCTTGTCAAGTTCCTTACAAAACCTTGTTTGGATTTTGTTTGGAATTACATTCTGTACACGGACCAATTTGGGGAGAATGAACATTTCTAAGATATTGAGTCTTCCAGTAATTAACATAGTTGCTCTCTTCACTTATGTAGGTCTTACTTTTTAATTAAATTTTAAAAAGTTTTCCATAAAAGCCTTAAGAGGTGAACCACTGAGTAAGGGCCAGAATAAAAAAGCAGAGAGTTACAGGTGTCTGCTTACCCAAGGCAGAATGATGTACTGCTGGCATCTCAGGATTTAGGGCAGTCAGTACAAGGATCAAAAGACCGAGAAGTTTAACTTGTCCTCCAGGATGTTTTCACTGTACATGTAATACTTACGATAAAAAATGTTTCAGAGAGTAGAATACCTGGTACCAGACACTCACCTCAGCCTTAATGTAAACAGGAACAAATATCCAACCAAGAGAACAGAGCAGAAATACAGCCTGAAACCATGAGGGAGAGGAACAATTAAATTAGGATGCTATGTAGGCCAGGCTCTTAAATGAGATGCAAGCTCAGTTACTATTTGTTTTGAACCTAACAAGTGTATCACTACTGGGACCTTACAAATAAAGGCCCATGCATATACTTTCCAGTACATGATCTTTGCCATCTTAAATTTGGGGGGTGCATTCTTAATTTGGGGGGATTAATTGAGCCCATTTTAAGGTATTCTTTTTGTTGTTTGCCTACTTTCAGAGAGGAATGAAGGTGGCTTATAATTAAAAGATAGTTTAAGAAGAAGAAGAGTCAGAAACCATTTGGGGAAAAGGGAAAGAAAAGCCACTTTATGGCTAGTGATCTGCCATATGTTAGAAGAAGGTATACTAAAAAGGAAAGAAGGTATACTAAAGGTATACCTTATGTTAGAAGAAGGTATACTAAAAAGGAAAGAAGGTATACTAAAATTTCATATAATTGGAATTAAGTAATAACATTGGCTTTGGCTTTTTTTTACAAAGAAAAGATAAGGTGAGTTGAATATCTGAATTAAAAGATGCTTCTGGAAAATTCTGAGAGGTAAATGGTGGTGAAGAGCAGAGCTTCTGAATTAGGTTTTGACTCGGCAGGAGTTATTTTTTGTTGTCTGTTTTTTAAAAACATATTCAGGGAACTTCAGTTTGATTGAGATATGGGAAATTTACATTTATATCTACTGTGTAACCTTGTAAAATTGCATTGACCTGCTGACTGAATACCGTAAATAGTCCAGTAGAGGGCAGCCCCGCTGGCAGAAAGGTTTCAGAGTTTGGTTTTACATTATTTGCCAGGTGATAATAGGGGAAAAGGCTTTTCTTGCTGATTTCTAGCTAATATCTAGTCAGGAGAGCAAGCATGTTGGACAAATTGAAAGACTGTTTTAGAGAGTATGCATAGTTTAAGTATTTTATTGGGAAACAGTTTTATAAATCCTGGACAAATGAATCATACAGCTCTTTTCAGTTGTATCATTTAATGATTCTTGAGTCCCAATCATATAACTATGGTATTACTCTGTCTTACTACTTATATTACCATATAAGTATGGTATTACTTATTTATATACTGTTAAAAGCACTCTTTGAGTAAACCTGGCAACATCTTTGTTTCATAATACATTTTCCAACTTGAAAGCACTCGGTAATTAAAAACAGCCTTAGATTATATGCATATTTCATGCCATGACCAAAAGAATACCATTTTTAGTGATGCTATTAGACTGGTAAGTGCTTAAGGTGAAATTTAACTTTTTTTCCCCTTCATTCTCTATTTGTAATGCCACATTCTTTAAAAAGTATTCCAATAAATTGAATGGAATGTCCAAACAGGATCTAAGATATGTCCTAGAATTCCAAGTGTTTATTTTCAAAGGTAATGTTGGGAATGATATGATTGTATTGAAGGACTTCAACTAATGTCCCTTAAATCCCAGAATGCACTTTATGGCTAGTGATCTGCCATATGTTAGCATTAGGGGATACTAAGTAACCATTAACTTTGCAGTGATAAAATCACTGTTCAGTTCTCATTTTCTGCCCAAATGTGAATTTTTGAGTTCCCTTATACAAATGTTTCTGTGTAATAAATTAATACAGCTAATAGCAGTAGAATAATACAAGTTGTGTAAAATTATACAATTAGGGAAGAAATTTGTATATATATTGAAAGCTGGAAAGTATACTATTTTCAAGTCAAATAAGTCAAATATGAAAAAGATCTGTTCTTTAGTTTTTCTACTTACAGTTTACTGAAGGAAACATTTATATGCATATATATTTAACAAATAGCAAAAATATGTTGAATTTATGTATTATGTTTGCTACTGAGATTTCAGGTGGTAGAATATTAACTACCTCAATAATCAGAAATACTTGAGTTTGAATTTGTAGCATCAATTTAATTATTTTTATCTAAATAGCTTATTTATTAACTCTAAGGTTAGCTAAATACGTATACCTTATTTTCTTCCGTAATAACCTTGAAGAAGATATAAGACTTGACACTTTTTCAAACTATATTTATGTTATTATCTCTTAATCTTTACCCAAAGAATTAATCATTCTGTGCTAAATTTGTAACATTTGCTTGTAAGCCTGGATCCCATAAGTTATTGAGTGACTAGAACTTAAAAGACAATTGATTCACAAATAATTTTGCAGGCATCTAGTTTAAATTGTCTTAAGTCTAAACTTGGATGGGTGAAACTTAAACTTAAAAAAAAAATGTTCACTGGTCTCAAAGTTATAAAGGCTAAAAAAACAGAGAAAAAACTGAAAAAAAAAGTATGTTCACTGTATTTATCATGATAGTGAAAAATTATATACATACAGTCTAGACTGCCCTATAATATGGTACATAGTGGAATGTCCATATCCTATGATACTATGCAATTGCATATAAGTATATCTATATTTGTCTATGTTTATATAGACCTTTCTGGGTCTATATAATAAGTGATATATCTTATCACATTATTAAATGAAAAGATAGGTTAAAAAGTTATCATTCATTAATTCAATGACCATTAATTAATGCCTATTGCCAACTATGGGCCAGGTACCGTTATTGGTATTAGGAATACATTAGTGAGTAAAATAGAAAAAATCCTATCCCTGCACCCATGAAGCTAACATTCGCTTGGAAAGAAGAGAAACAATAAACACAATAGGCCAGGCATAGTGGCTTGCAACTGTAATTCCAGTACTTTGGGAGGCTGAGATGGGAGGATCACTTGAGGCCAGGAGTTTGAGAGCAGCCTGGAGGACACAGCGAGATCCCCATCTATACAAATAAATAAATAATAGCTGGGAGCGGTGGTGTGCATCTTATAGTCCTAGCTACTTGGGAGGCTGAGGTAGGAGGATCACTTGAGCCCAAGAGTTCAAGTTTGCAGTGAGTGATGATCATGCCACTGCATTCCAGCCTGGGCGACAGAGTGGGACCCTGTCTCTAAAATAAAACACCAAAAAAAACCACACAATATATTATTTTATAGCATAATAGTGATAAATACTATAAAGAAAAGAAAAGTGGGAACGTGGACAGCAATGCTTAGCAGCAGAGTGGTCAGGGGAGACTGTCCTGAGACATGAGCTGAGGTTCACCAGATGAGGGGAAGCGCCAAGCTGCAAGCTGTGTGGCTGTCTGGGGAGAGCAGCCAGGCAGAGGTAGCAGCAGGGGCAGAGGCCCTGAGGCAGGAGCACGCCTGGAGTGTTAAAGGACCCTGGGACAGGCATCCTAGGAGGCAAGGTCCAAGAGGGAAAAGGTGTAGGCCATCTGTGGCCTAATGTAGGCCACCGTAAACAACTGGGCTTTCATTCTGGGTGAGACGGGAGGCCCTGGAGGGTTCTAAGCAGAAAAGTGCCATGGTCTGACTTGAGTTGTAATAGGCTCCCTTCAGCTGCTTTGTTGAGACTGGGTATAGAGGAGCAAAGGTAGGAAGAAGGAGCCCAAAGAGGCTGTTACAATCGATCCAGGTGGGAGACGATGGCAGCATGGACCTGGAGGTAGAGTTGATGAGAAGTAGTCAGATTCCAAATTATCTCTTCAGATAAAGTCACAGCATTTCCTGGGGCACTGGATGCTGAGTATGAGAGAAAAGAAAGGGTCTCAGGGGCCAGGTGTGGTGGCTCACACCTGTGATCCCAGCAATTTGGAGGCCAAGATGGGAGGATCATTTGAGGCCAGGAGTTCTAGACCAGCCTGGGCAACACAGTAAGACCCTGTCTCTACATTAAAAAAAGAAAGAAAAGAAAAGAAATAAGAGAGTCTAAAATGACTCCAAGTTTGTCAACCTGAGCAATTAGGATCTTAGGATGGAGTTGCTATTAACAAAATGGGGAAGACTTTGGGAGGAGCAGATTTACAGAGGAAAACCCAGCATTTCCTTTGGAACTTGTTCAGTTTGAGAGCCCTGACAGGTTAGGGTTAGGGTTGGGGTGACAGACCTTTCAAGGCAAGGTGTCAAATAGGCAGCTGGACAATACCAGTTGGGAGTTGAAGGGAGAGATCTGGGATGGGGATGTAAATTTGGCATTTGTTAGCATGTCACTGGTATTTAAAGCCATGGGACTAGAGAGAGTGCCAAGTGAGTAGAGTAACTGGGAAAAAGAGGTCAGGGAGTAAGCCCTAGGGACCTGCAGCATTAAGAAGCTGGGAGATAGGGAAGAACCAGCAAGGGAGTCTGAGCAGGGGCTGGAGGAGCAGGGCATGAGGAGGGCGATGGCGTGGGAGCCAGGAGACCAACAGGGAGAGGTGGAGGGTGAGGGTTTCAGATGCCAGAGCTAAGCCAGGCAAGATGGGGATGGACAACTGATGACAAGAATAAGCTATGGGGAAGTTACTGGGGTCCCTGACAAGGGTCATTAATACCTATCAGATATTTGCTGACTGTGTAAAAATACAAAAGACTAATAAAGAAAGTTAAAGTGGTAAAATTATTCTTTGATTTGAATTTCCTTTAATATCATAATATATTTTATTCATCGAGCAATAATCCCAATAATGAAAAAAGAAGTCACAGTAAAGAAATTAATAAATCACAATATAAACATTGTGAGGTTAAAGCATAGTAATGTCTTCTCAATGCCATATCAAGTGTCACAGTTATACAAGGTAACATGAGTAGCAGATCCTGGTCTGCTGGGTACAGATAACATGACTTGAAGGCCAAAGAGTGGCTCAGACAAAAGACCGGGGGCCTCACAGCTCAGGAAGGGATTGTGTTGCTGGAATCCTGTGCCAAAAAACAAACTGAGGGAAGAGGTCCACTGCAAATATTTCTTTGCCACATCAATCTCTTAACCAGGTTTAGGAAAAATGAAAAGTAATAATAATTCAGAGAGTTAAGCAGGAAAAAGCTTTTTGCCAACCTCCCAGATAACTAAGGGAAAGCTACTTCTGTTGGATTGTTTGATTCATCAGAGTTAATGACTGCAGTTTCCTCTTCCCTTTGATTAAAGGCACTTCCTCCTCCTGAGATGAGACTTGTCTGGTGAAGTGTTACCCTCATGGGAAAAACAGAATCCTAGCCATCAGACCGTGTAACATTTGAGGACAAAGGATAAATTATGAACCAAGGGCCTGGTTCTTGCACAATTCTCTAAATGATCCTTACATTCCTACGTTGGAAATGCGTGTGTATTTTTATATAACACATCACGAAGCAGCCCCGTCTCATACTTGGCACGGGCCTCTTAAATGTTTCCATTCAACTCACCCTCCTCCCTGCTGGGGTGCCCCCACCTACTCCACCATGGCTACAGGGCTGTGGATGGGCAGCTGCTTCCACTGCCATGGGGTTCTGAGTCACTCCTCTTGGATGGAATAACTCTGTATAATCCATAAATTATTTAACACACAAACAACAAAAAATGTTTCTTGCCCTCCTCCCTGTCTCCTTCCATCTCGCTGTCCCACACCTCCATGCTTTGGCGCATGCTATTCCCTCTGCCTGGAAGCGCTCATACTTCGTCTACCTGGCAAACACCTACTCTGTTACAGGAAACCGGACTGGGAAGCAAACCAAGAGCCACACGAGAGTACTGCAAAATAGGCTTTAATTGCGATGGCGGGCTCAGAGGGGTCTCGCCTCCAAATTCTGAGCAAAATGGGGTCTGAGCATGGTGGCTTTTATATGTTACAGACACAAATGGTTACAAAGTCTGCACAAGACCAAGGTCTAGTCACGTGTTACTCTATAGTTGCTTAGTCATGCTATTTTGCAGTTATGCACAGAATTGAAATCTAGTCAAAGGTCACTCTTTTAGTTGCTTTGTCATGCTAGTTTGCAGTTATGCTATTATTAGGAAGGGAGTGGAAAAGTTCTCCCTTACAACTCCATCTCCAAAGCCTACTCAAACAACCCAACCTCTTTAAGATCATTCCACCCTGCAGTATGTACTCCCTCCACCCAGCAAGCCCTACGTTACCTTTCATTCATATCAAGGAGTCCGATGCTGTAACGTGCTGTAATTTGTTGAATATGCATCTAATTCTCAATCTGTGTACTTACACAGGGTGGGACTATCTATTTCCTGTCTATGTTCTAGAATCTAGAACACTGCCTTGTATACACTGGGTACCTATAAATGGTTACTGATCTAAACAGAGTTGAATGGAAACATTTAGGTAAGAAATTACTCAATAGTTAAGGGAACTACCAATTAAATCATATTCCTGATTTAGCAACTTCAAATTATTTTGGGTATTAGACACTTAAATCAAAGTAATAAACAAGCTAACACATAGACCCTCGAAGTGGATGCAAGGCTTACTCACCAGCCACCATGCCAGATTCCGGCCAGCCAGAAAGAAGTCTGTTACGGTCCCACGACTGCTTGACAGCATGGCCTAAAAACAAAAACAAAAAATCACAATGGAATACAAGAAACTTAACTGCTCCAAAGACACAGGTCTCTTAAACAGATGGCCTTCACTTATCCCCAGTTTCCTTCTTTCATTCTTTCTTTTAAGGAATAGAACCTGAATTATAGGAGGGCCTATGGCCACCTACCTGGAGACTAGAGTCTCTTCTAGCTATGAAACTACATGGCCACGTCCATCTCTCTTCACTCTTGTGAAAATAAGATTGCTTTATTTTTTTTACCAAATACTTAACCACTGCCATGGTTTGGGGCACAGTCAGGGAGATAAGTGGTTTAGAGAATACATGGATCAATCAGGGATGGCAAATGTGAATACATGCCTAGCAGTCACATTGCCATTACTATAGCATCTTTCCAGTGCATCCAAGTCTTCTCTGCTCAGGGTCCCCAGCTGTGATTCCCAGATGTGACATGTAACAAGACAATACTGCCATTTCTTGGATTGCTGAGGACTAGCATGATCTAAGTGTGACAACTGGTTGATAGAAATGCTTTCCATGGAAAGAGTGAACTTACTACCACCACCCAAGGTATCTACATTTTAATGGTCAGTCTCTTCACATCATAAAACCAAAAAAGTAACTCTAAATTCATACACATTAAGTTAATCCTATTTCTTCCACTCAGCAAATATTTATGGAGGGGCTACTATGTGTATAGCTGATCTTTCTTAGAAAAGGTATTAGCAGCATGTAAGTAGAGATGCATTAGAACTTTAAAAGGAATTTATAAAATGTTCTAAGATGAATGAAGTCACCCTCTCTTTCCATTAAAAAAGAACCAAACAGGAAGAAGAGATTTGGGGAAGAAAGTGGCTTAAGCACATGACTCTTTCTTCCTGCTGTTTCTGGAATAAAACAACAGCCATAAAAGCCAGGCTGTCAGGGAGGAATATGCCTCCAATACTTTCCCAAAGATCTCTAGGCTGAAATGGATAAAGAGAAAGCAAATAAAAAAAGTATAAGTTTTTTTCTCCCTTATAACCCTTTAAGAGCCAGGACAACAGCAATGAAGACTAAGACTTCCCATTTCCCTGTGAGGGCTAGCAGACCTAAGCTTATGAATGCTTCAGAAAGGAGTCCCATCTGTGCAAATGTGGGCATTTCAATTCCGTGGGAAAAGGGAGTTATGTTTGATAAGTAGAAAAAAATAAATCTAGACTCCTCCCATCACATCATGTAAAAAGGTAAATTCCAGATATTTTAGAGATTTAAATATAAAGAAACCTATAAAATGTTAGAAGAAACTTAAGAATAATCTTTGTTCAATCTTTGAGTGGGGGAAAAGTGCCAGGAAATCTAGAAGAGACAAAAGAAAAGAGAGATACTGGACTTCTTTAAAGTGAACAAAAATTGAAATGACAAAAAGACACCATTACCAGAGTCTAGACTAGTGGTTCTGAATGAGGAGTGAATCTGCCCCATTTTCTGAGGGGGTATTTGGTAAATTCTGGAGACATTTTTGGTTGTCACAAGTGGGTAGGGGTTGGGGATCCTTCTAAGCACTCTATAGTGCACAGGACAGACCCGTCACAACAAGGAATTATCTGGACCCAAATGTCAGTAGTGCTAAGGTTGAGAAACACTGGTCTAGACAAATGGTAGTTCAGCGATTCAAATGACAGACAACTTGACAAAAGCAAGATCAAACAATCCAATTAAAACATGGGGAAATAAACTTGCTATTCACAGCAAAGAAAATTCAGTGGACAAAAAACTCATGAAAAGATGCTCAACCTCGTTAGAGTCTAGGACAAACAAAGTAAAACTACAATGACATACCTCGTTCACCCATCAGATTATCAAAAAACAAAAAAAAACATTAAACAAGAAGTAACATTCATAGCTGGTGAGGGCTTGGGGAAAAGAGCATGCTCATTATACACTGGTTGTGAGAAATAACAAATCTCAACTACCTTTGGGGATTTCCCCATTAAGTAACATCTGCTAAAATTTAAAGTAAACATACCCTTCTGACTCAGCAATTCCAATTTCGGGAATCTATGCCACACAAATTCAAAGTCCCAACACATTAAACAAACAAACCTGGCAGCAATCTAAGTGTTAATTAATAGGGAAGTACATGTCTGTATGACTATTGTGCAGCTAATTAAAACATGAACTAGATCTGTATCTATTGTAGTTAAAAAGCAAGCTGCAGAGTAAACTGTATGATATAGTCCCATTTTTTGTGAAGACAACACACAAAAACCCTACATATGTGTCTGTATGTTTGCATAAGCACTGAGAAAGAGGAAGAAGTATACACAGCCCTTGGTTACCTCAGAAAGACAGGAAACATGGAGGAAGAATAACAACTCATTCTTTTAAGTCTTTATGCATCTTTCATTTCTCAAAACAAGCATGAATACTTTTGTAATTAACAGTGTTAAGGCAAGTGGTACAGAGCTGGACAGGGAATGTAGAGTTGGAAAACAGCCTTTATCTTGCCATCAGGCTCAGCTGACCCCCCCCTTCCTTGTTCTCCTCCAATTTTTATACCCTTGGTAGGACTCAAAAAGTGTCCAATCAGCAACAAGTTTTAACATCCAATCAGCAACAGTGGGATTCAAAAAGTATCCAATCAAGATCACACAAGCAGCACGGTGGAGGGAGGCAAGGGCCTCAGCCATAGCCACTCCTGGGGGGGTGGGCAGGGAGGCGGGATCGGTGGCTGGCAGCTAGCGGCTGGCTGCCTCCCAGGGCCTGAGGGTTTTCCCTGTCAACAGTATATATGATTTTTAAAAAGAACCAAGAGAAAGATAATAATTTAAGGGAAAAAAGGATCCTTGCATCGTTTATGGCTTCTGGAAGAACAGAAGGAACAGCACGTTTCCTTTGGAAGTGACTGGATGGGTTACTAGTCCTCCGACTTCAGTGAGATGTGGGCCCCAAGTGGGCCAAGAGAAAGCTGTGTGTGGGCCTCCTAATTCAGTAAGAGCACTGAGGGGATGATCCCCAAACAGGTGCTCACTCTTCAGAGCCCCTGCACCACCAAGAAGGGTGTTTCTCCTAATTGAGGACAATTTTAAAAAAATCATTTGTCTGAATGATCTGGAAAAAAACCTCAGGTTTCCCCTTCGCATTTGGAATAAAGGGACAATATTTTCTTCTCTGGTACAAAATCCTCTTAAAAGGATAGGGCCCACATCTCCATTACTGCATCTTTTCACTAGTGGCGTAATGACTCCTAAGCCCTGAACACTGTCTAATGATTATATGTTGAAGGGCTACAACTGCCACAGTAAGATGCTGCCTGTGATCAGGTAAAGCCCCCCAGAGTAAAGGTTGCATGCCCATGAATGCTTCAGCTGGGTGGGGGCTTCCTGCAATGAAAACTCTCCAGCTGGTTAGCAATTGGTGGAACTATCTTGGCGGCACTGTCACCTGCCATTCCTGCTTGGTGAAGCAGGCCAGGCAGAGGCCTCTGATGGTTAACAGCTTAGCCTAGGGGAGACAAGTGACAACAGCCAAAGCTTTTATCTTCACCTGACCTTTCAGTGGAACACGGGCAGTATCTGGCCCTGGGTACTGTGGTTAAGGGACATCTTTTTGAGTGTTTACATGCTAAACTCTAGTGGGAAGATGGTAGTGAAGGAGACATGGTCTCCACCCTATTAAAGGAAACACTTAGAGCCCTAACTTGCACATGACCCTTTGAGGTCTTACTGGCAAGGCAGAGAGGTTAAGCTCAAGAATCAGGTCACACAGCTCTAGGTCTGAGTCTGTACTCCATCACTCCGTGGCTATCGCTTAATCTCTTTGCAACAGTTCACATAACACTACGTTATTCACAGCATGGTTGTGAGGGCCTGGTGCTGGAGGAGGACCTGGCACGCAAGCACTTAAGTTTAATCGCTGTCTCTACTACCACTATCACCATGACGGTCCTCAAAACGACTCCTCATGAAATACCGCTTAGGTTCCAGGAGGCCGGCACAGGAGCATCTGACCTGTGTGTGGGGTGGGGCAGGGAGGAAGAGGACGAAGATGTGAGGAAGCCATGGCCAAGTGCGGCCTCACTGCTAAGGAAGCTCATCTCCCTCGGCTGGAAAGGCGGGAGTGGGTAGGCAAAGGGAAGGCAGAGGGGTGCGGAGAGGGTCTGCACGCGATGGGGGCCGGGTACTGGCAGGGAGCAGTCAAGCCCACGCAGGAGTCCGGACCCCACCCTGCCCTCTGGGCCCTGCCGTACCCACAGTCCGACACTGAGGACCGACAGGAGGTACAGAGCCAACACCAGGGAGTCCAGGGTGTCGTGGATGCCGAGGCCCTCGGTGCTCCAGTTTGAGGCGAAGCCGGACCCGCTGTGGTCCATAGCGGCGTTTCCGGCCGCCAGGGAGGCGGCGCTGCAGGCGCAACAGCTCAGGCTCCGGCGGCTGCCGCAGGGCATGCCGGGAAGGGCCGTGGGGCAGCCTGGGCGTTCCCTTCCCAGCGGGCCCTGCGGCGGCTCCCGCCAGGCCTCGGAGACCTCTCTCCCCAGGGGCGCCGGCCTTGCGGGAGGTGAAGGCGCTTCGGGGCCCCGCACAGTGCTGTCCCTCTGTCGCCGCAGTCGCCTCGTCCTCCGGTAAGGGTCGGACGCGGCGAGTCTAGCGTGAGTCCACGGAGGCAGGATGGGCCGTGGTGGCTTTCAGAGCCGAAATCGGTGAGACCACTGCTGTCTTTATTTAAACTTTGATGTTTTGCTCATCATGTATTTTTTACATGAATTCTGATTGCTTGAAATATGTCATTAGTACATTATTTATCTCGATTACTGAGTTTTTGGGCGTCCCTTTACATTCTACACCAAAACTTACCCTAGTCACAGCTCTGGTTGGAAGAACTGATCGCAGAGGGTCCTCACCCTTTTGCAATGTGATCGTTTACTGGGGATGTGTGCATTTTTATTTATATTTATATTTTTATATCGAAAAAATGTCCTGGAGCCACGCCCGAGAAGCCCGGAGCAAGTGGACTCCCGATGTGTGCATTTTTAATCCGAGCCAAGCATTTTCCTTCCTCATGTGTTTCTGTGTTAAATCGTGTTTCTGTAAATCTTGGTCAATAACACTAGTAACGATAATAATAGCTAACGCTTATATAGCTCTTGCTAGGTGCCACACCTTTCATGCACTTCGTATTAAGTATTAGCGCATTTAGTTCTCACGATATTGAAACGGCCTGAGTCTATGACAAGGGCAGGGATGCTTGTTCTTGTGACAAGTGGGAAGTCTATGGTGTCAGCCTCCTGGGCAGAATTCTATGGTCCTAGTTTAGTTCAGTGCTGCCCAATAAAAATAAGAATCACAGATATAATTTCTGTGAAAAAAATTTCCAGTAGCCACACTAAAAAAAAAAAAAGGAAATCGGTGAAATTAATTTGTGATATACTTTAACCCGCTATATCCAAAATATGTAATCAGTGTAAAAAGTTGTTCAGATATATTCTTTTCTTTTTTTTCCACACTAGGTCTTTGAAATCTGGTGTATATTTTACACTTACAGTGCGTCTCAATCCATACAGTAAGTTGTCAGAAATGCTTGATGTGTATTTAGATTTAATAAAATTTACTGTTGTGAAAGTATATTCACATACCAAGTTGTTCTAAACACAATTAAAAGTTTTCCAATAACTGAATTAAGTGCCAAAATGTCATTTTCCTTTAAGTCAGTGACAAAACTGGTTCAACCTTTCAGAAGAATTGATTTAAGTAAAGGCATATCAGTTTCAAAATTATGTCTGTCCAAGTTAATTCACTATTGTTGTCAACTCATTATTATTGAGTTCATAGAGGCAATACATAATTTGAAAGGCATTTTTAAATTGATTAATAAATACAAAGTGTTTTTCAAATTTTCTTCTAGTTTTTGTGGTGCGGAAAATGTCCGGCGCCGGGAGGCAGCTGATTACTGCCTCCCCGTAGTTCGGCATCTCCTGGGGGTCAGTGCTGCGCGGCCAGTTAGAGGCACGCTGCTAGGGCCGCCCCAAGGCACACAGCCTCTGGATACCCGCCTGCTGCCCCCCCTGCTGCCCCCCCCAGGCACACAGCCTCCGGATACCCGCCTGCTGCTCCCCCCTGCTGCCCCCAGGCACACAGCCTCTGGATACCGCCGCTGCCCCCTGCTGCCCCTGCTTCCCCCCACCAGCACTCCCGATACCCGCCTGCCCCCTTCTGCCTCCCCCGCTGTCCCCCAGGCACAAGCTCCGGAACCCTGCCGCCCCACATGTCCCATGCCATGTGCCACTGCCTGTTTCCGGCCAGCTGTTTGTGTGATCCTGATTGGGTAATTTTTGAATCCCACTGTTTTTGATTGCATATTAAGGCTTGTTGTTGATTGGATGTTAAAGCTTGTAGTTGATTGGATGCTTCTTGAGGCCTACTGAGGGTATAAAAGCAGGGGCAGAAGGGCAGGAAGGGGGAGAACATCGGAAGACAAAAAGAGAGCTGTAATACTAGGTGTGCTGAGTCTGCTGTAGAAGAATAAAGGCTGTTCTCCGGCTTTTTTGTGCTGCTTGGTTCTTTCCCCGGTCAAATGGATAAGAGCTATAACAAGAGCTGTAACACTTAGCTGTATACACTGCTGCAACATTTGTACTCCATTTGTATAACACAGCTAGTTACAATTAAAATCTTTGGCATACTAACTTATGTCAGGAGAATGTGTAAAGTCATCATTATTGATTTGTGTTATGAAAAGTTTCAGTTTCATCATGAGTTCTCATACCTGTCTAGTTAGATCACAAATACGCCTTTTGTTTCTTTGGCTCTTCTTATTTAGCTTATTCTTAGACAATATACATTAGTGAGAAAATGTAAGTACAGACTGCCATTTAAAAAATTCATTCTATTTCTTTCATCAGTTCCATAGAATGGTGATTATTTATAGAACTTGCACGTATATACTGAGTGGTTGTAACAACTCTATCCATCAACAATGCTTTTCATAGAGTCTGCTATAAAAACTGAGCACAAATATTTTTAGTATGTATCACAGAGTAGAATATAGCAATAAAGGGAAACATCGGTCTATTGTTTTAAAATTCCATTAAATCCAGAATTTTGACCTGACATAGTTGGAGTACTATCTATCATCATAAAAACTATTTTTTTCATGTTTAGCTGAAATTCTTCTTTGATAAATGTAAAAGATTAAAAATATCTATGTTATAAGTTTGATCTAGCTCATGAATGGACCTTTTTTGGTAAATGAAATAATAATTCCTTTTGTCATTTTTCCATCTGAAACATTTTTCTTTTTGGTGCAAGAATCCAAGCTGTTTTAAAGCTGGGCAAAGTTAGAAACTCAACTTCTGTTAAAAATCATTACAATTTTATTGTTGGATATTTATTTCTGATTTTAGGCAACTCATTTTATCAATTTTTTTGAACCATTGAAAACAAACTTTTTATCAAATTGATTATGTAGTTGTATAAGACAGGTAAAGATTAAAAAAAAAACAATGGACAATGAAATGTTTAGGAGTTGTCTCTCTAAAACTCCCACCCTTTTGGGGAATTAAAACCTTCATTTCTTTCCTGAGGCCAGTAATCAAAGGGGCAGAAGAATGTTCTTTGCTGTTTGTTTTCTAGTATCTTAAACCATATGAGGTAGCTCAACAGAATTATCCTGGACAGGGGTCAGTAGACTGCCATCACTGGAGATAAGGTCAGTTAAAGGGCAAAAGCCATGATATGATATGTGACACTGGTCATGTAGACGCAAGCCCAACCACCAACCTCTCTCCCTTTTAAAAAACCCTGTATTTCTGCTTAAAGACAGGATGGCAGTCTTTGAGACACTAGTCCACTGCTCTCCTCATTTGCGGTGAAATTAATAAAGGTCTCTTTCCTTTTTTCTCAAACCACTTGTCCTCATTCTTCTGATGTGGCCTTGGGGACAAGTGCTGAACTTTTGGTAACGTTAATATTGTTCATTTTATTATCTTTAAAGTTTTTTACACATCCAATAAACAGCTCTACCATGCATGATGCATAAACATTATGTCCTTCAGTTGAATTGACTCCTTTGTACCTGGTAATGTTCTTTACTCTAAAATCTATTTTTATGTTAATATAACCACTTCTTTCTTTGATTAGTGTTAGCATAGTGTATCTTTTTCTATCATTTTATCTTTAGCTTATTTGTGTTTTTATATTTATGGTGAGGTTTCTATAGCTAGCAAATAGTTGGGTATTGCTTTTTAAAAATCAGGTTATCTTTTAATTAGCAGACTCAGATCATTTACACTTATATGAGTATTGATATAGTTGTGTTTAAATGTACCATTTTGCTGTTTCTTTTCCATTTGTCCCATATGTTCTTTTTTCTCTTTTTCCTTCTTCTTTTGGATTAATTGGTACGCGTGTGTGTGTGTGTGTACTTGTGCTTTCATTTTATCTCCTTGATTAGCTTATTAACTCTAACTCCTTGTTGTATTATCTCAGTAGTTGCTTTAAAGTTTATAGTATACATCTTTTTTATTTCAGTAGATTTCAGGGATACAAGTTTTTTTTTGTTACATGGATGAATTGTATAATGCTGAAGTAAGGGATTTTAATGTACCCATCACCAGAATAGTGTACATGGTGCCCGACAGGTAGATTTTTATCCCTCAGCCCCCTCCCACCCTCCCCCTTCTTAGTTTTCAATGTTCATCACACTGCTTTGTTTAGATCACACTTGTAAGTGAGAACGTGGGGTATTTGTTTTTCTATTCCTAAGTGAGATACTTCACTTAGGATAATGGTCTCTAGTTCCATCCAGGTTCATTTGGAGCTCTCTATTTTATGTTCTGCCTTTCCTCCTGGGACAAACCTCAGAACTGTTGAGCTATGGCACTGTGGCTGGGGTTGGGGACAGTGGTTGCTTCTTTGTGAGGGACACCCCTGCTTTAGGAGCTAGGTGCTTATTGGAGGGACTCTGATATTCTTACCTTGCTTCTTATAGCATGGAACCTGTGCTTTACAAAGGAGCCAGGGCAAGGGTGACAGATGTCCCAGTATTCTCAGTACCCTGCCCCAAGGCAGAGCCTCTGTCCCATAAGTCGGGGCTGAGTGGAAGAAGAGGGCTCAAACCTATAGCCACAATCACCTCAAATTTAGTCTGCAAGCCTGGTTAGCTGGAGCGGGATGAAAATGCTGATGGATTGGCCCTCCTAGGAAGGCATTGCAGCCCTTGACTTGAAGCTGGGTGGAGAGGCTGCCCTGTGTTCTTGGCTATATCTACCTGGAGTGGAGTTTCTGTCACACTGGGCTGGCAGTGGGAGGAAGGGAGCAGGTCATGATTGACATGCCATGTG